CCCAAAACCGCAGCCGCGCTCCCCCAGCCCTCCCTGCCGTCACCGGCCCGCCACCTGCTGCCCGCCGCCATGGGCAAGGAGAAGACGCACATCAACATCGTGGTCATCGGGCATGTGGACTCGGGCAAATCCACCACCACCGGGCACCTCATCTACAAATGCGGCGGCATTGACAAAAGGACCATAGAGAAATTTGAGAAGGAGGCTGCCGAGGTGAGGCATCCGTCCATCTGTCCATCCCTGAGCATGCCCTGCCCTCCTCCTCCTCCTCCCCAGTGGGCTGCGAGGCCCTGGCTCCCCAGCCGCTGCCTTCTCCTGCCAACACAACCATCCCCACGGGAGCATTTTCCTTTCTCTGGCTCTGCCCTTCTCGTACCTTCTATTTCTTCCTTTAGTCCCTTTTATTCCCATCCCTCCTCTTTCCTCACCTGCACCCCGGGGCCTTCCCATCCCTTCTGGCCTAGAGAAAAGAGGCCGTTTGGGCATTTCCTACCCTATTGTCCAGATTTTAGCTCCTCACTTGTGGGACTCGTTGCCGCAGGCTGCTAACGAGGGCAGGGGTGTAACGAGGTCTGGAAGTAGGATTAGGTAACCACCTGCAATCATAGGGATTCTGGGAGAGCTAGGAGCCGTAATGCTTCAGGGCATCAAATTCTCCCTAAATATTGCAGATAAAGGAGGAAATCTTGGTAATCCTTTGCTGCCCAGTGCAGGACTTGCTGCATTTCAACCCGAATCATCGGCTTCCAGCACCTGCTGGGAAAAAGCTACAGGAATGTCAGCACTGTCAATTTGATCCTTTTTTTGGAACCCATGTTCCTGTTTTTCCCAGGCTTGTAGTCTGCTGTGTAGCTTGACTGGCAGTCTTTGATATAGAAAAGCTGGTATGAAGCACAAGCGTTTAAGTTAAATTCTTTTGTTCAGCTTTTATAATGAGGGTAATTGCAGCAATATACTCGGGCATGCCTTTATCAGGCTGTCACACAGTAAAACACTCCCCAACACACAAAATGGCAAAGAGACATTAAAGAAGAAGACATAGTCTTGGGGGCAGATAGAAAAAAGTGAATTGGAAGCGCTCAGAAACCAACGATGGTAAATTCTAGAGAAGTGAATGGCAAAGAGCCGTGATGTATTATTTATAGGGCAGATCTGATCTCTTAAAAGGCGTCTTGTCGTCATCGTTCCAGGAATATTTGATGCAAATATCCCTTGATTTTTCTGAATAAGATCCCACATTTATGGAAAAAAAGAAAGAAAAGGTTTTCAGAGGTGCCAGTCTTGATTAGACATTGTGCTGTCTGTCTGTCTTAACCCTAGGGATTTGCTGAGATAAATCATCTATTTTCCTACCTCATTGTCAGTCCCTTATTGCAGCTCTGAGATGACGAGCTTCTCCCTAAAGCTAAAATGATCCCTCTCCCTCGCTGTTTTAAAACAGTTGCCGATGTTTTCCAATATATTTCCCCCTTTTTGCCTCCAGATGCGATATGGTGGCACTAGGTTTTTCTGGATGTGATTGCAGCTATTTTAATTGAAGAGACACTTTCCCTGACTTGCCAGAATATGCAGGGACTCGAGGCTGCTATTAATAGCCTATTGACTGAGCTTACAGACTCCATTTTCTGATGCAGGGCTGGGGAAGGGTTTTCTTCCATTAGGTGGCATTCGCAGGAAATGGAGGCCTGCGTGAACCCAAAAAGCCAACAAAAACCAGGGTCTGATTTTTTTTTTTAAGGGAAGAGATAAAGGAGAAAGATTTATTTCTTTTGACTTGAGGGCAGAGGTAACAGTATCTCAGAAAGAAGGGGGGTTTTTGGTGTGTGTGGTTTTTTTAATCATTATTTGTGGGCTACAAATAGGAAACTGTCCCTCTGGTGGAGTCTGATGGAGAGAAAACAGGCAGTTTCTGGCCCTGAACAGTGAAGGTATTGTGCAAAGCTAGATAATACCATGTTTTTTCCAACAACAGCTCTGGGTAACTGAATATACCCAGTGAAAGGAGGGAAACTGTTTGCTAAATAAAGGATCTCATTGGTCCCCGAGTTATGCCCGACACTGAGTCCTGGGGCGAATTCGCGTGATCCGACCGGCTTCCCGCGTGCGTCTCCTGCAGGGTGGCCGAGAGCCCCTGCCCAGACCACGGGCTGCTCCCTGTGTCGGATGCCTGCTCGTGCCTCAGTTTCCCTATCCGCAGCCGACGGATGGGGCCGGGGAGAGCTGCATCATTGCTCGCTGAGGTCTGGGCCGAGCACCACCGATTATTTGTGCGTTGCACAAGATGAGCTGTTTTTTCCCCGTGCGCGTCTGGCGCAGTAAACAGGCTCGGCCTACCGACCCGCTTCGTTTTCCCGCGGTGAGGCAGGGAACGCGTGTGCCGGAAGGGGTTAACCTCCTCGCTCCGCTCTGCTGCCCGGATGCCGTGCAGCGAGGGGGCTTCGGAGCAGGGATTTGCCTCTGGAATTTTCCACCTCCCTTTTCCACCCTGAGGAGCGCGAGAAAGCAGTCACCTGGGTGGCAGGGCACCGGGCTTTCTGCTGCTCCCTCGGCCTGGTGTTTCCACGGAGCAGGGGGAGGCCTGCCCATGCTTTTTGGATTTTGCCCATAATCCTTCACAGCAAGCTGCAAAGTCATTGCGGTGCTAAAGCCGTTATGTAAATGGCCCGACACCGTTAATTACTTGTGCGGCCCAAGCGGGCACATGGGGATGGCAGGGCTCTTCCTGGGGGAGCGTGGGAATCTGGGGTGGGATACAGGGCTGCTGGGGCGCCTTCTGGCCCACTGCCGCAGGGTTGGACCCTGCCCATCCAAGTACAGGAGCAGAGCATCCAGTGGGAGCCTGGACAGGCCGAGTTTAGATGTGAGGCTGGTAGTAACCTTCTCACCAAGCAACATCATCAAACCATTGCTGGCTGCGATTAGGAAACGTTTCCCTCTGAACAGGTGATTTATGATTGCCCATTACAAATTTTATGTGGCAGTCTTTGATACTGCAGAAGAAATTGCTGTTACAGAGAACGTTGCCCGAGGGGAATGGGGACTGTGGTGCAGCATCTCCTCCTTGGACGCTAAAGCCCATTAATTCATTGGCAAATGACCTATTTCTGTAGCTAAATTCAGTTTTCCATTCTACAAACTTGCAGTTCAGTCCAAGACGTGATGATCAATGCAGATTAACCCCTTCCTGAACTGTCAGGACGCCCTGGAGCCAGGCACAGCCATGAAGGGGTGATTTCATTCTCTCCTCCCTCCTTGTTTTGCTTGCACCTTTAGGAGCCTCATGCAGGTTGGGTGCTCAGGCCTCTGGTGAGAGTCAGGCTCTCCTGTTGGCAGGACTTCAAAGGATACTGACCTAAAGGAGAACTGATTCAGGACTCACATCATGATTTTACCAAGGAGTGTGCTTTATCACAGTACAGAAGTACCGTGTTTAATTTCACCCATCATGATTTTATGTATCACGTTTTGTGTCAAAACACAACTTTGGCTGTAATTTTGGCCATTTGGCAACAACAGTTGGTCAGACTGTGGCTAACAGTAGCTTTCCCTGAGAATTCACACACTCTGTGGCAAAAAAAAGTCCATCACATTTTAATCTGATCATAGCAACTGTCTTGCATTTCATTTTCTTTTAACCCATTCTCCTGTTACACCCCTGTCAGCTATGGATTCACTCACCAAGCAACACCCTTTTCTATTAGCCAGCTGTCTTACAGTTTCAGCTAATGAATTAAAATGCTATAGTAAGTTTTCCAGCATTGTGCTTTAATTCTTTGCCAGTATGATTCCGGAAGAGTTACAGCTAGTGAGAAGACGGGCCGGTGGTGTTTCATGCAGACCTTTTGGATCATCGAGCCCAGCTCCTTGCCGTGCAGTCCTACTCATACATTAATTTAAGAGCTTTTCTTCCAGCCTGCTCTTCATCCTCCTGAGGAGTTTGTTGAGAACAGTAATACCTCCTTTCATCTGTATTTAGTAGTGCATAGATGGGTGCCACTGAATTCAGGGAGGTTACTCTTAACATTTGCCTTGGGACCCTCTGTTTTCATCTGAGCTTCTGACCTGCCTAGCCTAGGGAAGGAGGGTTCCTGAGCTGACTTGGCCCTGGCACCAATGCTGATACTCAGGTTTCTCATGAAGCTTTTCCCTTTGTGTCACCCACCAGATGGGGAAGGGCTCCTTCAAATATGCTTGGGTGCTGGACAAACTGAAGGCTGAGCGCGAGCGTGGCATCACCATTGACATCTCGCTATGGAAGTTCGAGACGACCAAGTACTACATCACCATCATTGATGCGCCTGGCCACCGGGACTTCATCAAGAACATGATCACTGGGACATCCCAGGTGAGCAACCAGGGCCAGAGGAACAGGGGGGCAGCCAGACATGGGAACCAGAGCAGGCTTGCCAGCAAGCCCAGCATCACATTAGATCCTGTTGGAGTCCTTTCTGAGGGGTGTAGTTTAGACACCACACAGCCATCCAGCATCTTTGAGTCCACGTGAGAGGCCATGTGGCACCAGGTCTTGGCTTGTTGCAGGGGTCCCACATGTCTCGTTGGTGCCAGGGCAGCCGTGCCCTGCACTTCCCCAGCTGTCAAGAGTTCCCTTCTCCATCCCATTTCCCCTCACCTGGATGGGGTTGGGATGAATATCCCTGGAAGGCCTTGGGAAGGATGCCTTTGAGTCATGGTATCTCCCACATTTTTCTAGCATCAGTCAACTCAGATATGGAAGAAACATCCCACAATACCTTAGGTTTTATTGGCCAAATGAGACTGCAAGGGTCTTTCCATCTTCCTTTCTCTCAAGACAGCCAACGTTGGCAATATGATGTGGTTTCTGCGACAGACTCCATGGTTTACTCCTGCAGGGTAGGGTGGCTTTCCCTCATCATGCTACAGGTCATGCCTGCCTCTCATTACAGCCGACGGGTGCAGGATTAGCCTCGTTACATGCTCAGAGGGCCCGTTGCAGCACAAGGTGAGGCTGGGCGTTGCCTTCTATCAGACCCAGGCATCTTCTACTGTGGCCCCTGAGAGCAGGAAAAATAAACTGAGGAACACAGTTTGCACTGCTGGAGCCTGATTCAGTATGTAGGGAGGTTATCTGAAAGGTTCCCAAGACTTCACTGGGGTTTTAGATAAGGCCCCTGCTAGGCCTCCCTGAGTGGTCAGGATCAGGTCAAGGCTGGATTCACACAACCTGGAGGAACCCACTCTGCTTCCATGTTGTACGACCACGTACAGTTGGCATGGAATAGCCATGCCATAGGAATGTCTGGAATAGCACAGTTAGGTCAGGTGAGGGTTGAGGTGGATCAGCAGGGTGATGTGGGTAGCAGCTGGCATGGACTCTGCCCAAGCCATGCTTCTTTCTGAGTAATGTTCTTCTGGGGCTTATTCAAAGCTCTTGAGTATGTTAACAGGAGCAGAGATCTCTGGGAACAGGAGCAATTCATTAGTTATCCTCTTTCCTCCCAGGCTGACTGTGCAGTCCTGATCGTCGCTGCTGGTGTAGGTGAATTTGAAGCGGGCATCTCCAAGAACGGGCAGACTCGTGAGCATGCCCTGCTGGCTTATACCCTGGGAGTGAAGCAGCTCATTGTGGGCATCAACAAGATGGATTCTACAGAGCCCCCCTACAGCGAGAAACGCTACGATGAGATCGTCAAGGAGGTCAGCGCCTACATCAAGAAGATTGGCTACAACCCAGCCACAGTTCCCTTCGTGCCCATCTCGGGCTGGCATGGAGACAACATGCTGGAACCCTCTCCCAATGTAAGTGTGTTTGTTGCACTAGACTTTTTTATTTTTCCCCGAACTGTCTTGATCCAGGCAGAAGCCAACCTTTGTGCTGTGAAAACCACAGGCACATTTCACACACCCATTGTGCGTAATGACCCATGCTGCCAACATAGATGTGTTTGTCACGTAGCTCTGATTGAGCTGAACAAGTATGAATGGGCGCACTGTTCATGGCCCTGACTGCTGCTGCATCATGGCCAGACACCACAGCAGCTAAACGTGAATGTCTTCGGGAGAAGTTCCGTACGGCTTTGCTTCTGGGATGTAATTTCAAGGTTTTGCATCTTCAGACCCATGGTGATGTTAGAGGCATCCACAGCGATTAGCACAAAATGTGTGTTTTAGTGCATTGTCTTTCAAGGTGTTTAACATGTTCTGGTTGTAGGCTTGGAGCAGCTCCCACTACACAGCCTAGTTCCGGTTTGTATCAGGTGCATTTTCTCATCAGTGCCTCGTGCCAGTGTGGCAGCCACACCTCAGGTTCAATGCTGCCATCCCACTAATTAAGATGCCTTTTGCTTGGGGAGATACCAGCTTTCTAGTCATAAACATGGCTTGCTTGAGCATCCATTTTGGGTTGCTCCTTGTCCAATTGATTTGGAAATAACCTCCCCACTGTGCATCGTGATGAGGACTACAGGGATACAAAGACAGGGTCTTCTGGGTAGGCGCTTGCCTTTACTTTATCTGACAGCAGGAGAGATAGAAGAGCCTGAAGGGCGATGGGGGCTTCTTGGCAGGCAGGCTGTCAATAACTTTTGGTATTCTAACACTACTTTTTGGAGGAAAAGCTACCCCAGCTTTACCCTTCTAAAGAAGGATGGGCTGGGAAGCTCTGGCCGAAGGAATTTAAGTCCTAGCACCAAGTCCCTGCCCTCCCACAAGGTTCTGGGTGACCTTGAGCAAGTTGCTCAGGCCAGAACCCCCTAAGATGCCTCCTGAGACCAAGACAAATTTGATGCCTACGTAGGCTTTCGGATGTGTACCCTATTTGTGGCTTATGGGTCTTAGCTCTCTCTGATGAAGGAGGCAACGTATCTGGGTTTAGCCTCAGACTAGCAACGGAGGGAAGTCAGGGATCAAGACATTGAGTCAGGAGAGTGCTGCAAAGCAAGGTCACAGCTATGGGAAGCGTAGCTCATAGCCTTCCATAGGAAAGGCAGCTTGCGAGAAACCTGGGGCTAGTTTAAAAGATAATGTGTTTTGGTTTTGGGGGGATTCCTGTCCCTTGCAGCGCGGAGCTGGGACAAAGGTCAGCCCTGGCCATGCCAAACTGAGCAGCATAGTTTTTGGGTGCCTTCAAATCAGCTAGGCTCCAAATGTCAGCAGCTGCTGGGCTGGGAAGATGATCCCAAACAATTCTCCTATTAATAGGCTGGGTAGTTGAGGCACCAAGCAGGACGGTCCTGGCTGGCTTCGTCCATCCAGATGGACCTCCGAGCATGTTCTCAATGTGACTTGCTGCAGAAATAACTCCCCTGCACCATGATGAGGCAGCTGTCTCTGGGATGACTCCTCGGAGCTGCGTAAGCAGCAGCAGAGGCTTGACCATCAGGAGGAAAGCCCATCAGCAGGGCTGGGCAGACCACAGGGATTCAGAGATTTTGCAGGGTGCAGAGACCTCCCCATGCTGGGTGAGGGATCACCAGGGAGAAAGTGCCACCTTCTGCCTTTGCTGGGACCGTGAATGGGGACAGCTCCCTGCTTCCCTCCCTGCCTCGCATCACTTCGGCGAAAGCTCGTGCAGGAATCTGATGCAGGGCTCTCTCCTCTCATTCCTTGCCCTAAAGAGCACTGTTTTTTCACTCACATTTTCTGGCTGGGTTTCATCAGAGCACAAGGCAGTCAAGTGACTTGTCTGTCTGTCAAAGGACTTATCAGAAAGTCCTGTGGCTCTGTCAGGATTACAGGCCATGACGTCGCTGCAACGTGCAGCAGCTTCTGTCACCTCTGCGCGCGCACGGGTTTCGTCTGGCAGAAACAGGATACAGCACGACTGCGTGGCATGGTCGGAGGGTAAAGAGAATGTAGAAAATGGAGGGTCTGAAACGTAAAGGACAGGGCTGGATGCTTTCCAGCAATGTCCAGCAGCTCCCTGAGGAACCGAGGTCTCCAGTGTCATAGGGGCTGCGTGTGCCAAGCAGGAGCCAGTCTCTGCTCCTGGAGTTTCCCACCTCAGTGGGCAACGGGTGAAGGGAATATTTCCCTTTATTGAAGGGAAACTGAGGCACTGAGTAATTTCTCCACGTTCACATAGAAAGTCGAAGAGGAAAAGGAATTTTTGAGCGCCCGTCCAGAGGCTGAAGTAGAAGGTCTTTCCTCCGTTTCAAGAGCGCTATAGAGAAGCACAACACAGGGCAGGGGGTGTGCGAACCTGTACGTCAGGATGTCAGGGCTGTAACCGAAACTGCAGGAGACACTCCAGGCCAAATCCCCATTGGGCTGGAGTGTAAGGCCAACGGAAAAATGACTGCCAGGCCGCGCTCAAATCAAACACTGACTTTTGAGAGCTTTTTGGCAAATGAGCTTTTGTATTAAGCCGGCTTTTCAGCGCTGCAGCTGGCAGAGGGAGGTGGCTGGATGTCGTTTTTGCAGAACTTTACTCTGTGGGATATTGTGACCCAACTGGGAAAGATCTCGGGGGGAAGAGAGGGCTGTGAACAGGGGGCTGTGGAGAGGCATGTGGGGCTGGCAGTGCATGGCGGGGGGTGTGTATGTGTGCACACCTTGGGGTGCTCACAATTAGCTCTCTCGCGGGGCTCTCAGGCTGGGCAAAATCAGAGAAATGCGACTGCACCGTAAAAAGCCCTCGGTGTTCATTAATTAACAGATGGGCTTTGACACTTATGGGGGCTCTGAGGCTGCAGTGCCCAGGGCAGGTAGTACAGGGTTAACAGTTAACTTTGGGGGTTTCGGTCAGATCCTGTTTGTCACGGGAGCGGTGAAATAGGAACGGCTCTTTGGGAAGCAGATACAGGGAATAAATAGCAGAGATTTTACCTGGACGGCCCTAGGAGGCAGCACAAGCCTATTCTTGCAGATTCTCTTCCATTTCAGGCCATGAGGTTTTGCAGAACGTATTTCCTCCTAGGATATGTCGAAATACTTCTCCATTTGTCTTTTGGGATGTCAAACTGTGGTCGAGCAGATAACAAAGTTCCCAGTCTAAAGGGCAGCGTCAAAAGGGAAGGGGACGGTGCGGGAAGCCAGGTGTCACGGGGGCAGAAATTGCCGTTTCTCCATGTCGCTGAGCTGCGCTGGAAAGGCGCTGCCGGCGGAGAGGGGCAGAGGGCTGGGGAGCCCCGCAGACACGTGGGAGCCCTCGAAAGCAGAGCCTCCGTGGTGGCTGGGGCCTTCATTGGTCTCCGCGGCCTTGGGGACGCAGATGACAGCTGCTGCCATGGGCTCCCGCCTGGCATTTGGGGCCATGCGACAGCAGATTGCGAGGGAAGGTCTGAGTCATCCTGTGCATCACATGCAGCTCCGTCACCGGCTTGATGGGTTTATAATTTCATCAGGCTCCTTGAGCCCTGGCTCTAGACTCGGCTAGGGGCCGGCCGGCTGCTTAGAAATAGCTGCAGGTCGCTCTAAGAAGGAAGGTTTCCTCTGCAAAAATGCCCCCTGGGCTCCCCCCCACCATTACTGCTGAGGAAGACAGCTCGTGACAGATGTGTGTCTCGGAGGACAGCAAAGCTGGACACGTTTAAAGCCGGCAAGACCCTGTGACCTGGTTCCCCTGGCTGAGCCCTGACAGCTGAGCTGCCCCGCTGTGCCCTTCCCGGCCGGTCGATGAGACAGCGGCAGAGATTGCGGAGCAGAAAACCGAGCCGTGGCATAGCCGGGTCCTTCCAGGGTTGGGGTGCGTGATCGGAGCTGGGTTGCGCAGACAGTAACTTAAATCCAAGTGAGGAAGTATTGTCTAAACCTGTCCCGATTGAAGAGGGGGAATGAGCTGGCGAGTGGTTACGGGAGTGTAGTGTCAGCTTGCTGTATCAGGGCTGGTTCGGACCCGGGGCGACAGGAGAGGCAGCTGTCTTGCACGCCTGGCCAAAGGGCTTTATTCCAGCAAGAAATGCGCCGTGTGCTTTCAGAAGAGGGAATTGCAGTCGCATGGGGACCCCGTGTGCTCCCTGCACCCCTGAGGCAACGACGGATGGGGCCTGTGAGCTCCAGGCACTGCGAAAGCTTCGGGATGTGCAGCGGCATCCAAAGAGGGAGCTGCGCTTTCCTGCAGCAAACAGTGTCCTCTGCTGAGCAGGTTTCCCTGTTTGTGCCCAATTTTCTTTTAGCGTCAAAGGTCAAGTTAGGGCAGAGGCAGGGAAGCTGAAAGCATGGATGAAAAACACTACTGCCCCTCATAACCCTAGTTTTCCAGTGCCCAAACCATGACAACAAAACCCCGGAGGGTTTTGGTGAGGAGCGAGCGGTGGGAAGTGTCTGTTTGCAGGTCACCTCAAAGAAACTGGTTTCCCAGGGCCGAAGGTTGGGTGCTGTGTAGCTGGGACTTGGCCGGGGGCCCTGCCGTCTCTGTGCCGGCAGC